CCCCCAAAGATCGGACCCCCCCCCCAAAGTACGTCACACTTTCAAAAATTAAAAAGAAAAAAAAATTAACACCTAATTAAAATTTAATCTAAAACACACTTCACTATTTAACTGTATTAAAATATAAAATTTCCACTTAAAAGAGCTAAAAATTACTTTAATAGTAGAATAGTTAATTGTCAACAGTTGTCACAGTTATTCATTGAAGCAGTAACTCAATCTAGATTGAATTTTAAAACAAAAATTGCAAAAATTAGACTAGACAATTATATAATACACACCATTTATCTGCTGCTTTTTCATTTACAGAAGGTGAGGTCAAGTTTTAGGTAATTTCCGATAATGCAATCTTTTTGCACAGGATAAGAAGTAAATTAGCGAAACTTGACCTCACCCAGTGATTAAATAATAAAAAGGAAACAAGACAATTTGACCAAAAACAGACTAGATTGACAAATTATATGACAAACTCTTGTGCTATATGGAATCTGTTTATTATGGGCCCGTGAATTATGTTTAATTAAAAAAATATTCACTGGACATCATCCATCCATGGTGAAGTGAAGTGTTCATCCATAGTTACAACTGGCATCAAACTTTCACCATCATCGTTTCCTGGAAGGATAATTCCAGACAGATCAACTTCATCCTCATATAGCCACTCAACATCCTCTGAATGTGCATTTTCTCTTCTGGCAATAACTGCCATGAGTTCTCTATGCCATCTAGCAGCGATTCTCAAAGGACTGATGTGTTTTATCTGAGTTGATTCTGGAACAGTTTGGGTTGGCACATTCTCCCGAGCTCTGTGTTGTCCTGCATGTTTCTTCGACATTGTTTGTGAGGCACATTATAAGTGACATACTTTGCAAATTCGATCAAGTAAACTGGGCTGCAAAGATGGACAATAAAGATCATATTGATCAACAAAGAGGCTGATGTCTGCATTTGTGCTATCACGCATGGACTATTGCAATGCTCTTATGGTGGGTCTTCCAGCTACGTTCCTGGATAAAATTCAAATAGCACAGAATAATGCGGCTCGCATTGTTCTCCGCAAACGCAAGTTTGACCATGCAAAAACCCTTCTGAGAGAGTTGCATTGGCTGCCGGTGCGTGCTCGCATAGAGTACAAAATCGCAACTTTGTGCTACCGCTGCTTACATGACCTGGCGCCGTCCTATCTGAAAGAGCTGCTGACGCCTTATGTACCCACTAGAGAGCTCCGCTCATCCGATAGTGGCAAACTCTCGACACCACGTGTTTGCCTTGAGACTTACGGAAAGCGCACTTTCGCATTTGCTGGTCCAACAATTTGGAACGCCCTTCCTGTCGATCTTAGAAACAACCAGACACTGGAGTCCTTTAAAACCGATCTAAAGACACATCTATTTCGCAAATACCTTCTGGGATGATTGTCTACCTTATTTTCCATGTGTTGCTGTGTTGCTCCGGGTTGAAATGGCTAGAAAGACTTTGATATTGTATGCTTGTAATTAGTTTTTGTAGTGTTGCGTTTGTTTTAAATGTGGTGAATTATAGATATTTTTTTGTTGACTTTGTACCGCGCTTCGAGCCTTTGGGGATGAAGCGTGTTTTTGAAATGAACTTTATTATTATTATTATTTATATTATCATATAGTTGTACTTTGAAAACTCCTGTTGATCTCGGCAAGGCTATACATAAAACAAGGCTTCGCAACAGCATACTAGCGCTCCAGGCGAGAGGAATCGTGAACAACACATTCAGGAGATACGCATTTCCTGCTATTTTGACATAAAACTAATTCAAATGTTTCACAAAATTTTTTGAAAATTATTTTTAAGGCTATTAAGTTCTACTAAAAAAAAAAAAAAAAAAAAAAAAAAAAAAAAAAAAAAAAAAAAAATAGAAATAAAAAGTAAACAAAAAAAATGTATGACGTCACACATGGCCAGACCCCCCCTCCCCCGTCACACTTTCTTACACCACCCCCCCCCCTCTCTGGAGCGTGACGTACTTTATGGACGGCCCCAACGTTAGAAAGCCGTTTCTCGACCCCGGACTCGAGGTTCACACTTCACTATAATAAATTAAGGGAATTTAAATATTTACTGGGTGCCCCAGGCGCCCCTATGGCCACGCCACCCTGTGCGAGGGCACAGGGCGCACACCATAAAGGAAAGTGAAGTCTGCATGACTAGATTAAGGGGTCGTTCGCAAATTACGTCACGCTCAGGGGGGTGGGTGTGATAGTGATAGAATTTGTCCTGCAAAGTGCATTCCGTACAGAGCAACTCTTGATTCCATGCTCTGTATTTGTGGCTTTAGCTATATGGTGGTGTGATTGGCATAGAATGTGCCAGCAAGGTGCATTCCGTATAGAGCAACTCTTGATTCCAGGCTCTGTATTTGACTTCTTAGGGATTTCTCATTCCTTACGATAGATGATGCTGGCCCCACAACCTGTCAGGCATAGTTCATGCAATACATTCAGCTGAGCTGTTTGGCTTACTATTTTCTGTCTCTCTGGCATATATAGCAAAGGTGATAGCAAAGCTGCCATGTTGGCTGTTTATCTGTTGGATACATTTTCCCCGGACAAAACGGACAACAGCCCTTTGAAAAACAAATGTAAAATTTCTAGTTCAACTCCGTAGACATATTTCAATGTCTCTGTTTGCTATAGTGCTGCAAAGCTACGCAAATCTATCAACCTCTTCAAGAATCTTGCCACTGAGTTGTATACACACCCAGCTGCAATGTTGGATAGTCGTAATATTAGCCTTGTCCACGCTATTCTTCATGTCATCTCTTCTTAGCTTCCTGTTCTACGTTGGTGGTCATTTTAAAAAACATAACAAATATTCCCGAAGGGAGGACAGGAATTTTTATTTCAAGTTTTAAGTTACATGTGCGAGAAAAAGCAATGAATGTAACACCTGGAAAATAATAGACTTTAAATGCAACATTTTTTTTTTGGCTCCATTTGAAGAGCCATTTATTACACGAACAAACAATTTTGTAGTTATTGAGAGCCAAGGCTCGGCCATCATTACTCCTTACAAAAAACCCCCCAAAAAACTCAACTGAAAATGAAATAATAACTGGATCTGCAGTGACTGCTTTAAACCTGTAGGATTTGTCGTCACTGACTTCTTTATACTTGTACAGCATAGGAAAACTTTTCTGTTGGAAAAGACTTAAGACAAAAATGCCACAAGTGTATTAAAATGAAGATTGAAATCTTTAACAAAGGCTGACATCAATATAGTAGTACTACAAACAAGCCCCACGGCCATTCTCAAATTACGAGGAATACAAGCATTGCTTTCTTTCAGATCATTACAGAAATCATTACACAACTAGACAAAAATTAGAAATATCGGATTGGACTTTTCAAGATGGTGTCCTTTGATGAATCCACCGTGCATAAGATTCATCGAACAAATTATTTGGTTTGCTGGTGAAAGTTACACCTTGAAAATGACTTTTTGATAGATAGCCATTGTAAAATTCTTTGGCTGTCATTGTCTTTTTGATGACGATCCGTGGGAAGCCTGCCCAACTGTCCTGTAAAATTTAACAATATGTGAATAAAATTTTGGAAAATGAAAATACAATTTTTAAGGACGTAGCCCTAACGTACTAACACTTTTTTTTTTTAATGGTAATAAGGGGGAGAGACTGCAGTCAGGTTAGAGAAATGGAAATGAGTGAAACAAAGTATCACATTCCTCTTGCTGTCCCCTTGAATACTACTGTTCAGCTGTTATTTTTACTTCATTCTATTGGACAAACTCTGGATAGTGGCAAACTCTAGATAGTGGCAAACTCTGGATAGTGGCAAACTCTGGATAGTGGCAAACTCTGGATAGTGGCAAACTCTGGATAGTGGCAAACTCTGGATAGTGGCAAACTCTGGATAATGGCAAGCTCTGGATGCCGCGAGTCCACCTTGAGACCTTTAGAAGGCGCACTTTCACCTTTGCTGGCCCAAGAATCTGGAATGGCCTTCCTGTCGCTTTCAGAAACAGCCAGACGAAGCAGTCTTTCAAAGCTGAGTTAAAAGCACATCTTTTTCGCACTCAGCTGCTGGGGCGATGTAGTCTACCTCCTGGTTTCCAAGGAGCTTGCTCATCTTCCTCGATGTATATTGGCTTGTATGTAGAATTTGTATTGTTGCATTTTGTATTTTATTGCGCTTCGAGCCTTAATTAGGGATGAAGCGTGTTTTTGAAATGAACTTAAGTATTATTATTTTTATTACGGTATTATTTTTACTGCTGTTTGTTCTCTGCTGAAGGCTTCTTACCGTTTTTTGTTACATTCTTTTTTTCCAAGTTTTCCCAGACTTTGTTACTCTCATTTCCATAACACTTTTATAACAATGAACTCCAAAAAATAACAAATAACAGCAAACTCCAAAAAAAACAACAAACTCCAACGAACAAAAGTTTAGGTTACCGGTACGTGCTAATGAATGCTTCTAAGCAATTAAAAGAACACACCCTAGGGAATATTTAAAATCAATAGATCTGTGTTTTCTCTATTACACATTGTTATCCCATGCCCAGACACAAATTGATAAAGAGCCTAATCAAATACATTGTACACCAAAGGTCTTTTGTGTCAGCTGACATTTAAAAAACCTGCAACTAAAAACTAACGTAAGGCTTCTGTTATGGTGTCGCATCTCTTTAAAAACAAATCTCTTAAAAATACCTATAAAACAAAATACAAGAGAACCCTTAAAATAATGTACTTTCTACAAATTAAATAAGCACCTGGAGTATTTATATAACATACCTTACACCGCACCCATATTGAATTAGTGGCTTTATCATAAAAAGGTAAGCCTGGAAGACTATTGGAATCTAGTGGTATACCTGTTGGCAAATAGAATGAGGTGAAGACAAAATGAAATGTAAGCATACATAATTTTTGACATTCAAAACACGTTATCTGATTGCTAACGGCAGACCTGACGTGAAGATGGAAAGTGGAAACTAGACAGTGAGGCGTAATCATCCCTGTTGGAAGTCAATGACGGGCACCCGTCCATCACAATGTCACGATGGTCTGACTTCGCTGGTCGAAATCACAAGACCTGGAATTTTTTTCCCTTGGGGCTATAAGCTGGTTCCCCGGACAGCAAATTGCCTCTATCCACGAACCTGGACAGCCCAAGGGAACACCATGTATGGATCATACAGCTTGTCACAAGTTGCGTTGCGGTGGCTGAGTGGTGTAAACTCAAAAGTCAATCCCAAATCCAAAGCTTGTGGTCTGGAGTTCAATCCCCACCAAAGACCAAGTCAAGCAAAAAAACAACACCAGCACCCCGGGCGTAAGGGACCCATTATTCTTGGATGGCAACTCATCTAAGAGAAGGAAACTCTGAATTCAAACCAGGAGATGGAGTCCTGTAGGCGGATACATTAATACAATGAAAATCCTGACAAGTCACTGACTGCTACTTATGTAATGTCAAGAGTAGAATTAACTCTTGCTATGCTGGATGTCAAGTGAAGACACCTTGAATAAGATAATAATAGTAATAAATAATGGTTTACTTTGGTAAAAAATATTTATAAATATTTTGTGGTTAAATGTATTATTTTATAGAAAATACTAAACATTTTTCTTGAATAATTCTTAACTACTTGCAGGGGAAATTAAAAATGTATTAATAAGGGCACACACACTCACTTGGTTTACAATGGGGGCTGATCATTTCTATTAATCTAACTGTTGTTCCCGCCCATTCTGTACGAAGCTCTGTCTGAAATTTTCATAAAATATATTAGTCTCACAGAATGTCAATCATATAACAAATACATTTTTTATGAAGGGAGGAGAATGAACTGAATATTATGTTGATTACAGGCAACATGTGTTTGAGATTTTTAATTAGTTAGTGAACGCTCTTCCCGTGCTTCACTCTGTGACATATTTTTATGCTGATTCGTGAAATATTGTCTAGACAGTATTGTGACCTATGTTTTACTCATGCGTCAGTCTTGAGTGGAACTTTGTGGAAGTAGGATGTGTATTATTTATGTCTGATAGTGAGCTGCACTACATTCAAGTGTTTATGTGTATAGTATATACTTAGATATTAAATTAAAGTTATAATTATTATGAAAAGGTCTTGAGTTTATTCCGTGATAGTATGAACAGTACGACGTATTCAACGTGTGAAAGAACTTGACGAATTCATAAATCTTGAAGGACATAGGGGTTGACAACACCCCACCCCATCCCAAACTGGTTTAAAACTATAACTTGTGAGTAAAGTTAACATGTTCGCTGCTTCAAATGTAAGTTTTGAAAGTCAAAATCATAGGCAGAAAGCCTAAATTTAAAAAAAGAAATAATGAATTGTGATAACATGCTGAAATTGTGAAATAAGTATTACAAGGTCATTTTCGGAGCAGAATCTTAGCTTATATATTTAAGTATATATGTTAAGAAGGACTCAACTGTTTCATGTAGGGCTCTGTATTGGCGGTCAATCTGCTCTAAAGTTTGATTTTTCCAGTCAATGAAAGACATTTCTGGAGTTATTTTGTGAGCTGATGATGAAAAATTAGTTAGGTTAAACTAAGCCATGTGCTGAAGTCAACACAATTGATGGTACTGAGGGAATTATGTAATTTGTTTGAGCTCTTGGAAATACTGAACGATTACATATTTTTAACAAAACATTATTAAAACTCACTAAAAGGAATAAGAAATGCTTGTTTTCAATAACCGATTTCATTGAATTTAATTGGATTTCAAAAGTTATTAAACATTTACAAAACAAAATACCACAAGCACAAGTTAAATTATATTTTGATGATTCTGTTTCATTACAAAAAAACAACAACAAAACAACAAAAGAACTTTTAAAAAACAATTTCACTACCATATGTACAGCCCACTTCAGCTTGTGGAGTTTCTGTGATAACTGCTTCTGGCAAGTTGGCCAAGACTTCCAGGATCTGAGCAAGGATAATTGCGTGGGTGTAATTCAACAATGTTAGAATGTATTACTATCACCATGCAATATGGGTAACATAATTCTCAAAACATAATGAAAAATGAATAATAATGTAACACAATTTTAATTCATTTCATAACAATAAAAACTTGAGGTGATACATTGTTGATTTGGGAGGCCCTCGCTGAGAACACGAGAGTATAATGTTTGTAAAACTACACGATTTTCCTTAACAACTACCCGGTACCTAATTTTGATAAAATGAAATATGACGATGTCCATACCATTTTCCCACCTTTTGGAGCCAAGTAATCTCTGAGATTTGAAGTGGAGCATCTCATTGGAATCTCAACTTCAGTCTGTTTTAATAAAGGGCCAGCATCAAAACTACAGCAGCAAGTAGACACATATGTTTTAATACAACATGGGAAAATATATTTTAAGATATTGAAAAGGAAAACGGATATCCCGGCTGTTTAATCTAAAAGTACAGTTACCGGTAAAAACATAGATGAGTCTTAATTAATCATAAGCATCCAGAAATGAAAAAAAACACATTTATAGGGTATTTAGCACGATTTCATCTGAAGCCAGGCTCTGTAAACGTAGAAAAAAATTTTTCTAAAACTTTTTTCAAGAAAAATATGCAGCCATAAAAAAAAATCAAGATTCATTGTAAAATGTGTTTAAAAAAAAACCTAATTAAGTTGTAATTATCAATGTGCTGTTAGATCCCCAATATATTTTCTTAAAGTAAAACTAATTTACATACCCGGTATTAAAATTTTAAAGGTGTTATGAGCAGGACATTATTTAATAAAGCAGAGATGAATGCAAATGATATAGACAACGTTCAAACTTAAACTTGGAATTTCATCATGTCCTGTTAAGGTTGCATCTACATTCATAAAGATAGTAAACAACACTCACTGTTTAGGCTGGATGGACATGATACTAAGGCCAACTTTGTCATCAGCATTCAGCACAGTGTGGTGCAAAGGTGCTGCACCCCGCCATCTCGGCAGTAAGCTGGGGTGAACGTTGAGGATTCCACTGAAAGTGAAAATCACCAAGCCAAATCAGAAAACTTTAATGACAAAATATCAATTATATGGACTTTGATAACACACTTACAAAGTTTATTTTTAAATCCTTTATATTAACTTCACTGAAACTTGGCACATAGACTCATAGACTCGATGCCAATGACAACACATTGTATCAAATTTTCAGTCCCATTCCAACTCCCAAAAATCAGTTTTATTTAAAGGGGAAATTTTTGATAACTGGGCTAAATGAAATTCTTAAACTTATAAAAAATATTGGGAAAGTGCGTTCTTTTCTTTTTCTTTCTGAAATAGTTCGTGAAATAAATCTGCAATGCATATAAGCGGGTGGGTCAGAAGAATATTTATATAGTTAAGGGGCGCGAAAAAAATGTGCGGTTGCAAGCCTTGGGAAGGCGGGGGGGGGGGGGGGGGGGGTGGTTCTTATCAAGTGTGTTACTTGTAAGCAATGTTTTGCCAAATTTTCAGCCCCATCCCCCATTGCTAGATATTACATTTTATAAAGGATTTATACGTAAAACTTTGTTGTTAGGGGTTGGTTAATTAATATAACCAGAATATTGAGGTTTCATCAGTAATGAAAAGAACAAAATGAATTGTATTAAATGTTGTTACCGGTATATAAAATGGATATTTATTTATCTTAACCTCTATAAAACACTATAAATAGAAAATATTATTTGTATAATTCCAATTATATCTGTAAGAAAAAAATTTCCAAAACCAATTTAACACAATGATTTCTTACTAAGGAAAAGCTTCAATGATTTTCCTGGGTATGAGGTGACCGAATGATGCCAGCACACCTACATCATAGAAGTTTTCATTCTTAAACTGCGTCATGGGCCATTCATGACCCGATAGGTTAAACATGGCAGCATACTTAATAATGGGTGTCTGAAAAAAAAATTAAAAAAATAGATTAATAAAAATTACAAATAAATTAAATTAGATAAGAACTTTCTGCCAGTTCTTGTTTCGTAACTTTAGACTTGCAGGGCTTGAAAGTGAATTTATTCAGAATTTATAACTTTTTCTGTCCCCAGGATTACAACAAAGATTGGGTGTATAGACAGCCCTACCTATAAAAATTGCAACACATTATTAAAAAAAAATAAATTCTAACATAAAAAAAAACAACTTATAATATAAAACAAACATAACAGACAAAAAAACATAAAACTTTCACACTGATTTTATTGTTATTGTTATTGTTATTTATTGATAATGATGGTATGATGGGAAAAAAAATTACATAAATGTAAATTTAATTGTTTATACTTGTTTTTTAGTCCTTGGATGAACTATATGCAAGGTATCCACAAGACATTTGCCACTCGATCCTGACAACCTGTTAATTGGAGGGGAAAAAATGAATTGGATTAGTATCGAACAACTGATTACCATTTTGAAAGGGAGACGCAATTTTACCAGGCTTTAGCATTCATAAAATTTAACAAAATTCTGCAAGTAAGACATGTTTATTCTAAGTATAAAAAAAATTTCATACATAAATTATGTATATCAGGATATCTTCTTTGCATAAATGTTGAGATTTCAGTTTGATACATAAAGATTGAGTTGGTTCATTCAATTCCCTACAAGACTATACATAGTTTTATTTTGTAAAATAATTAGATTATTTTTAATAATTTTTTTGCAAAGGGTATGAGTGGCAAGCTTGTAAAAATTGATCCGTATTCTTGGCACCGACACTCCTAAACGGCTTCGTCTCAATAGGGTTAAGATTATGCCCCCCAAGCCCCTTTGCAAGGCCTTGGCAGATGAGGGGAGGGAGAGAGCATGAAAATTTGACTTTTTAAAGGTACTAATACTAATATATAATAAATAATCTATTGATGGCGTCTACTAGACCATCACCATTTAATAGTATTATTGTATTGATGATGAAGGTGTTTAATTTAATTAATTTTTGGCCGGCACTGCGTACACCGCGGCGGTGTACCGAGCGAAACCATCGACTTTGGCCTGGGCACACCGCGGCGATATATAAATAGTATACTTGGAAAATGATCTTATACCAATCACACCATTCCATAGAGATGTTAACTTGTATTGTTGTATGCCTAGTAACTCTATTTTTATTTTACTTGAACTAATGTGTTTACAAGTCACATACCTAGTATCTCCACACAAAAAAACATGTATAACTATAATAAGCTAGGACCATAGGTCACCAAGTAGGCCTACAAACGTATAACTGGTGTCAAGTATTAAATGGAATTAATTATCAAACATCTGTGACTTGTGGAAATACATCTTGATATGGATAAAAATTGTTATAATGAGTACTTTTAAGGGATATATTTTTATATAATATATGAATTTTTTTTGTTAAAAAGGTTGGGGGGGGGGGGGTGGGGGTTAAGTAAAATGAAACAATGAGAAAACATGTAACTTATACCCTTCTTAGGTGGGGCCAAAAATGTTTATTAAACAGAATAAACATGGCTACCGGTAATTAATACTTTTGGTACTTGTCATGTATAAATAACGAAGATAATTCTACTAAAAAAAAATTTATTCTTGATATCTAGTTCTAGCGTTGTTTGGAGAGCAGATTCCAAAAACTGCATTGTATTTGGCGTAACAGCTATAGTTATGGTATAGTTTTTAAAAATGTGTTTATTTAAGTCTATAATATATCTCCTTATTTATTTTAATTGGGATAATTTGTATTTAATTTACAAATAATTTAAAATGTATGAATACATTTGTCATAAATGTAATATCCACATTCTTAGATCTTGCGTCTTAACAAAAATTCGTTTAGAGTACCTTTTATTTTTATTAATAGGCCTGGATACAGTAGGTATAAATAAGTTTACTTCAAGGGACATAATCTGCATTTTGAGATACGATTTGAGTTTTAAATCTAACTTCTTGAAGTGTCAGAAGAAAACTGGCATTATTTTTGGAATCAGCAGATAAAATGCACTTAATAGCCAGTGTAAATAAAATATGTATCACTGACAATATCGGAACCTCAAACTGATTTTTGCAAAACAATTATTTCCGGTAGTGTCAAGAAGTCATGACCAGACATTTTCATATAACATAAATGAATTATTTAAATATAAAATTGGTTACGAATTTTTGAAATCTTGTGTGTAGACAATTTTTTTGCCACCACCTAAAGTGTAATTTTCATAATGCTAATCTATATCTGTATAGGTAAATCAAAAAACTCACACACCAACACATAACCACATATATAGATGAGAGACTCAATTTTTTTCTATAAAATAAGAAATTATTCATTTATTAAATTATATGGTAATGAAATTGAAATGGTGGTAGCTCACACTTTGATAAATAAAAAAGTGAGGAAAACAATGCAACATTTGTAGATTTTCAAAAAATGCCAAAAAATTAACAAATATTTCAGTTATATTACTATTAATCAATGATAAGAAAGATTACATGTCATCATTATAACAAAATGCTAAAAGTCTATATACTTAAAAAGCATGAGTACGTATAAATTATAAATGTACCTTATTTAAAAAATAAAAAATTGTTTTACAAGTGCAGGGGTTCACCTGAAGCAATTTGTAATTTACAAAAAAAATAATTGCATATTACCTATACCCACATTAAGCTAATTATATTATTATAGCAAAATAAGTATAGTTATATATCTACATATTGAAATATTCCTTGCGCAAATTACATATAGATACACAATACAAAGCATAGCTGGAACAGTGCAAGGGTTAACATCCAGCAAATAACTTTCTTTTGTCAAAAAATATATAAATTATAAAGGAAGGAAATGGAACATTTATAATAAAAACACTGCCTGTATTTTGTAAATACTGGCATCATTAATAACTTTAAAAAAAAAAAAACCCAAAAAACTGATATATTTTAAAAAGTTAAACAAACATGCAGTATAATATAAAGTAAACAAATTGTAAATCAGTTTGAATCTGAACAATTTACACAAACATAGGACTCTGCATTTGTTCTTAAAGGAATACAGGCTACATGAAACCATTTACCACATTTGTCACAATTACACTGCATTACACCATTCACACAAAATTCCCGTAATACTTCCTCCTCTAAACAAATATTACATATATCACTGCTTCCTTCGCTACTTTTACTACCAGTATTAGTAACGCACACAGGTTCAGGTAAAAATTTATTTTTCCGTTTTGATTTGGATACCAGTACTGGCATTATATCCGCACCAATATCATTTGTTGTTGCCCCTGTGTGGTTCAATTTCACTGGCTCAAAACCCTGGGGAGCATTTGCAGTAATTTTCTTCTTATTTTTATTTTTGGTCAATCCAATTACAGTTGTGTCACTGCCTTTGGGTCGGCCTTTCCTGGCAATACGTTTTGGGGATTTTACAGAATCCCTAAATTCCTTTATATCTTCGTCCGAAAAACGGACACATTTTCTTTTTAGCTGTGGATTCCCAACCCCATTGTGCCGAGTTTCTGTGACTGTAAGGGCAAAATTCTGATTAAACTTTTCAACATCAGTCACTCCATTATTTGCATGGTCAGATGTGTCACAACCTGTGTCAGTAATTATGTCCACAGTACCTAATATGTCAATGTCTATTTCATGTACATCCAGTATGTCTAATGTTGGTTCAGTATTGACAGTGACTATGTCTTCAGGGTTGTCATCCAGTACGTCAATATCTCTAGAGGCAACAGTCTTCTCAAATAAATCTGTATTTGTCTCATCTTGACCTAAAGTATCTTGACCTAAAGTATTATCAATAACAATTCTCATGGAAGATCCATTTATTACTCCAGAAATAATGGTCTCTAATAAATTTTCCACCTCTCTAAATCTGGTATTGCCCAGTTCAGAAAACATGTGAGACAAATCTTTACATAATTGTGATATCCTTGAAAATTTTTCATGCTTTTTTAAGACTTTGGGTGCCTTTAAATTTGAGGTTTTAAATTGAATATTGATGCTTTTGGGTAAAAGTAAATCTTCCCCATGGCTCATTTGCCATTGTGCCGCACATAATTGGCTATCAAAAATAGATAATTTTTAAAATCTTCTAATAGCAAAAATATGAGCACAAGGAAGCAACATTCGTTTTGTCAACATACAAGAGCATGTCGTATCATTGACAACCTCAAACTTTTGTCTAGGCAGCTTCCCATAGACAAGTTGTTCATCCTCACGAAACTCTACTTTTACACTTAGCTCCAATTGTTTTAAAATAAAATTCGTTGCAAATGGTGTAAATAAATCCTTACATTCAAAGTAAACAGACTTGTAAGCATCTGGACATGCCAAAGAAATAGAGGTTAAATTGGCAAAATCCTCAGCTAGGATTTCATGTTCCTTAAGTTTTATGAATTTCAAAAGGTCCAAAAACATAGTATCTAAGGGAGATCTCTTTCTAATTATACCTTTTAACTTTTGATGGTAGCTTTCAAGTCTATTATTGGTACCATCATTAAAGTTAACGGTTTGCCCCCTCCTATATATAACCCACCGTTCCTTACAGGTAAACCAATTTTCATAGAAATATTTAGTGAGTTCATTGTAATTGAGATTTTCAAGAGCAACAAACTTCTTTTTGAAAACTTCCTCATTGGAAGCATAAGCTATAGCCTGAAATACCTCTTTAATTTCATCTTTTCTCTCTTTACATATTTCGAGGCCAGATATCTTTAATCTGGCGCCTTTTAACACATGGAAAAGGCAGAGCTCTACTTTTGATTCAGGCCAAATTTGTTTCAAAGCAGCCAACTCTGCAAAGTCTTTATCCACCATAAATGATAGAATATTATTGGAATTATCTTGTTTAAATATAGATAAAACTTCCTCAAGCATCTCTGCCATCTCAGATCCAAGCAGTATTAAGGCCACCACTCTGAAAAAGAAAATGGTTTATCACAAACTTGTTTGACTCTTTAGTGCTAAGAAAGAACATATTTGGTACATACATGAACAATTTTTTAATGAACATAAAACACTATTGAAACACATTAAAGAGTAACGCTATGTAAGTTTTGCATGATCTATGACACATTACAGGATTTTCCAGCCTTTACCATACCGGTACTGTAAACCCACAAGGAATTTTGAAACTTGGACTTGGAAAAATGATGAACATTAAATATCATATTAAGGAAACAATAAACCTTTTAATACACTAAAATTTCTCACCTGGATCTGTTATTGCCATCCACAACCATCAAACTGAGAAGAGGCATTAACGAATCATTCAACAAATATGTTGAATCAAGCAACACATGCTCTGGATATTTTTGGAAGAGTCTCTTCATATCCGATGACTGGTAGAAAATGTATTGTAGCTCATCTCCATCGATATTCTTAGCAAAAACGGTTATAGCACCTGAAAATGTGCATATAATATTAAAAGGAAATAAAGAAAAGTAAGAAAAAATATTGGTTGGTGCATAAATAATCATCACAGCAATCAATGCATGAACTACATAAAATATCCGTGAAGGAAACAAATAAAACATTTTTATCTACGCTGTTTCTACATGTAATTCACCTGGCAGATACTTTAATATCTGAGATTTAAAATAACTATAAGTACTACCTGTACTGGTTTAAAAAGAACAATGTAGAAGGTCTGAATACCCTGCATCTGATTATTGCATCAATAACAATTCATCCACTAAAACCTGCACAGCATTGCGACCATCCCGCCGAGAGTGCAGCACCCTATGCTTTAAATTTTGTATGTCTCTGTTTTTCAAATTTCTCCCTTTGGAATTCAAATGGGATTTTAGATGTGGATTTGAAACCTGAAAATAGCATTAAAGAAATAATGGCTTAAAAAATATATAAATGTTCTTAATTAATTTTCATTAACGGTAAGCATAAATCTTTGGGGTTTGCAACTGCTTAGCTTTCAGTATCTTCTGCAACTTCTTATCTTCTATCAGCATATTTGGGGACTGTTATGTAGGACGTGTTTACGTTACACTTTCCTTGTGCCGTGAACTCTGTTTGGCCCCAAGTTGGACTGCGTTCGTGTTGGGCCTGGCCTATTTCTTTTAATCTTTTTTACCAACAAAAAAAACTTTTTCTCAGCAGTGGAAATCAAGGTGTATTTTCCCACCTTTATAGAAAACCGGTAGCCAGTAAAAAATGTACATACCTTCATTTCTACAGCAGTTTTTACTGCATCCATCTCCGCAGCTGTAAGATCCATTCGATTTCTTGTGTAGAATGGGGCAAGTTGGACGTCCGCTACATGGTTACGCACCAGGGATAATTCTTTAATTGTTAATCGTTGCACGCTGCCATCTTTTCCACCTTGAAATCTATTAGCTGAAATGCATATTTTGGCTGGGCATTTGGATCTCAGGCTCCTGTAATAATGAAATATAATTTGTATTTCATGTTTGGAAAAATATAAAAGTGATGTTACTAATCATTAGTCTAAGTGTAATGTAACACACTAGGCTAGCCCAGCAGCATGGCAGTCCATAACTGTAGACGTAGCCTACCAAATAACAAATTTTTAATATAGTATTAGTAATAATGTAAAATACTTACTTAGTATGACGAAGTCCCTTTGATCTTGTCTCATGTTCAGACCCATGGATGCATAGGTACGTAATTGAGGAGTATTTTAATTCTACATTAAATTTTGGCTGACTCGCTGCCACAGTTTTATTGACAGCTTCTATAGTCCGTGAATTTCTTTTGGAAAAAAGTTGACCCGTTTCTTTAGAAAAGTCATTTAACACGTTGTCAAATTCTTCAAAACTTACAAATTCTTGGCCTAAATAAATTTGAGGCATCTTTTTGAAGATGAAGACAAGTGGAACAAGCGCGTGCTACAACAGTGGATGATTGAAATTGAATGAGCGATAGCGTTGCATCTCAAAACGAGGCCAATAATTTTTTGCCGCGGTGTACCCAAGCCAAAGCCGATGGTTTCGCTAGATACACGCAGCGGTTTACGCAGGCCAAGGCCGATGGTTTCGCTAGATACACCGCCGCGGTGTACCCAGGCCAAAACCGATAGTTTCGCAAGATACATCGCCGTGGTGTACACATCCACTTCGTTAATTTTTTTAATGATTTCTGATGATGTCACTATTTAGATTTTAAAAATGAAAAATGCTTAAAAAATACTTAATTAATTTTTTAACTTTCACCAAGATCCACTAAGCTACAGTTAACAGTGCCACCTGATTCATTGGTAGTAATGGTAGTAACTAGTAAACTTACTTACTAAACTTAAGTCAAGTTAACTTAAACTTTAACTTAAACTCATTAAGATTAAGTTAATCGACTCACCTATTTTCATTTAACGTTTGCAGAGTTCCCAATGAGAATTCATCTGTTCCAAAAAATAAAACTCGCCATGGAGGTTTCGATCTGAAATTTTTAAACTGTCTCAAATTCATTTCAAAATAGTATTTTAGTAGCAACAACAAACTACAAGCTTAGTGCTAATTCAGGTAGAATTTTAAAATAAAATAAATTTGGGAGTTACTAGCCCCTGATCCTTGAAGGTCGCCACTATGTCTACTAGGGTAGTAAATCTAACACACTAAAAGCTACATATACCGGGCGATAAACGCAGCCTTTGTAACCATTATTAAAGCTTAAAATATATTGTATTATTTATACAAATTGCTTGTGTCTCATTAATCACTGGCATAGGTAGGGGTGCGGGCCGCCCCGGGTGACACCAACTCTAACTACGCCACTGTCATTAATCATAATTAATTTAACGCTATCATTAAAATTAAAATGATGGGAAGTTAATTTTTTGGAAGTTCCTTTTTATGTCTAGAAATAGAACTGATTTATGGCACATCAACCAGAAAGAAGATTATGATAAAACAAACGCTTTCACTACTTGATTCAAATCCATGCACTTATTTTTAAGCCTAGTATTTATTTCATAAATTGAAGTTAATGCGTAACTGACAGTTTAAATAAGAAATTACGGTTGTGACCTAATCATCTGTCAATCTTACACTCGATTAAGCCATAAAAATGAATCTTAAACTAATATACCTACTTTTAGAATTTTTTTCCAAATACAGTTTTCAACTTATAAAAGCCTACAAACTGGAAAATAATAATTTGAAAGCACGAAAATTTAAAAAAAAAAATATAATAATAATAATCTTTTTGTCTTAAGAAAAGGACGCAGCATTTTCTAAAATGGCTTTTAACTTTTGGGGTAGGGGTCATTACCCCGCGCTCCAATCAACTGGGTGAACCACTGGGTTTAAAATATCTATATCGATGTTTCCCAACGTGGGGCCCACGCCCCCACATTGAGGCAATTTGATTGCTTAGGGGGCAATATGAAAATGAGCTGTCTAGAAATTGAAAACCACCCGTCTACTGTGATTTAAATTGTATTTTAAAAGGAGAATCGTTAAAGTCACAATTTAAAATAAGCGTTCGATAAAAGTGAATTTCAGTTCTACATTATATGTTATGAAAATTTACTTACTATGTTTCCTCACCAATTTCCTAGTGATTTCTTCCTAAAACCTATCATTTAAGTTTATTCAGTGAACAACCCCCTTTTTTAAATATTAAAAATTATGTATATGATACATGGGGGGCATACGAATTTTAGAAAGGCTTAGGTGGGGCATGGCCCCAAAAAGGTTGGGAAACACTGATCTATAGCCTCGCTAGGTAGTTGCGAATCTGATGATACACAGACCCATGCACATGTACACACACATTCATTATATATTACTCTACCCTCTTTACATGCTATTTCAGCCATTATTCACATTTTGTGGAAACGATCGACTTCAAACAAAATTAATAACCAATTAAAATTTAATCTAGAATACATCTATTACAACAGTAATTTTAAAACAACTGTCAATATCAAGTTATTATTTTTTTAAAATTTGGAGCCGTCCACAAAGTACGTCACGCTCCGGTAAAAAAAAAAAAGGGGGGGGGGCGATCTAAGAAAGTGTTACTGGGGACATTATATATTTTAATCATGCATAAAAAAAACCCTGAAATTGCCATGGATTTTGAACGATCTTAATACATTTATTACAACAGTAATTTTAAAACAACTGTCAATATCAAGTTATTATTTTTTTAAAATTTGGAGCCGTCCACAAAGTACGTCAAGCTCCGGTAAAAAAAAAAAAGGGGGGGGGGCGATCTAAGAAAGTGTTACTGGGGACATTATATATTTTAATCATGCATAAAAAAAACCCTGAAATTGCCCTGGATTTTGAACGATCTGTTGTGATGGGTGTATTCTGAAAGAATATGTCACTTTTATAAATTTAATAGTTTACTAGTGACGTAAATAAATAGTGTAACAAGATATATTTAGGCTAGAAAAAAAAAAGACACGACAATTAGACGGACGTTTCGACAAGATGCCTTGTTTAGCAGACTATACAATAATAAACAACATATAAATTTAAATAAAAAAATAAAAACTTATGTGTTCGAACATCTCAATTATGTCAATGTAGGTCAAAATTCAGAACAAGAATCGGTCAAAAGGAATCAGACCACATCTCCCTAGTTCTCAAAGATCTCCATTGGCTTCCTGTCATGGGCGCCCGCAGAAAACTTTCTAGGGGGGGGGGGGCAAAAAATCGATTAACTTTCCAGGGGGGGGGCAAATTTTTTTGGGGGGGGGGGGGTGCCAAGTACCCAACCTTGCTACCTGCGGGCGCCCATGCTTCCTGTGAGTGAGCACATTGACTACAAAATTCTGTCCATAGCTGTATGGAGGGCCCTGCACCTGTATATCTTCAAAGGCTGCAATCTATAGGTACCCGGGTACCTTTAATTACAAATTACTATTCCCACCCGGAGTGGCTCCGTACAGATTAAATGGCTTCGGAGCCGGGTGTGATAACTATAATAGTATGAGAATTATTTTTTTAAAAATTGTTTTTCTCCTTGTTATTTCATAGATTCATAGTTTTATTGTTTTTAGTTGTTTTTTTTTATTCTTGCTATTTTAATTTCTCTTAGGACGGGTAGATTTTTTACTTTCCTATTTTCTCTTTTAGTTAAAGCCATTTTCGTAGATGATTTTTTTAAAATCTAGTAATGAAGATGATTTAGATACATTTATTGTTTTCATTTGGAATTTAGAAAAGTAATAATATTAATTTAATTATTAAAATTAAATCCTTTATTTAAGATTATTTTTGTGCCCCCCCCCTCCCCTGGATTGATTGGATAAAAAAAATTAGACAAAAATAGACCAAAAATTTATTAAAGTAAAGAGAAAATAAAGAGAAAGTAACTAAGCTGATGTACTGTCCGTTCGTTCACCATACTAATACGCTACAGTAATTTAAACTATATTAAAACATTACTAAATTTTTTTGCCCCCCTCCTCGAAAGTTAATCGATTTTTTGCATCCCCCCCCCCTAGAAAGTTTTCTGCGGGCACCCATGCCCCCACCCTCTAAATTCGAGCCGCGTTCTGTCCGAAATGGATGCACAAACGTGTAAAGGAAAAGCAGCGCCCTGGGCGAATGCGCCCCCTGATATTGAGGTCCCT